CAAGGTCCAAAAACTGTTGTTAACATAAATTAGAGAATAGTGGAAAATAAAAATAATAAAAAGATGCAGCTTCAAGCCTGAGGTGAAATAGAGGCTGTGTTTTGAAGGGAAGTTTATGTTGAGTTTTGCATTTGAAGTGTGAACATTTTAACAGATCTGTGAGAGTTCCAATAAATTAACTTAAGCAAATATTCCCACTTCTTTCAGATGAGAATTCTGCACAAGGAATTTTTCATTAAATAAAATTAGAGGGAGATTATGGAAAGTATTTTTATACTGAGTCCTTCTGTAGACATCTTTCCTCTGTCAGATGGGCTTGTCATGGTTTCATTTAGCCTACTTCCAAAGTGTGATTTTACAGCAAAATAAAAGGACCTTTTAGGCATCCAGTGCAAAAGGGAGAAATTGCAGGAAGTTATTTTGTTGGGTTTTTTTAGCATTTCCACTATAATAAATCTTTTTCAGTGCACATGAAAAATGTGTAAACTTTTCATCTGGGCAACACTTTAAGAATTACTTTTTATAAGGTTGATAGGTCTTCAAAATTTGCTAAAAGAAAAATGAAGCATTTTTTGGCAAACAGTTGAGCTTTCTTTGAATTAACATTTCTCATCACTTAACATTTTATTCCTTTTACCTTCACTGAGTTCCATACTTTGACATCAGTGACAAGCTATAAAGTGGTTCCTTTTCATCTCTATTTCATCTTATCTGTGGAAATTTAAAGTAATAAAATAGAATTATATTGGCCTCTTTGCATCTACTGTACTACATTGTGCAACTAACCTTTTTATTTTACTTTTCCAATAGCTTTCAAGGAGATTAATGAACAAGAAATTTAGAGAAAAAATTACTGCTGCTTTACAGAAGTTGGAGCAATATGGTGGAAAGGTGAGCTGATCTCATGACTATTCTGTACTCTTCACATTTGAATGCAGCTTTGCCAGATCAGCTTCCATCTCTCTTTCAGATTTACCCCATTCTGAAAACTGCTTATTTTTACATGTCACTACTATTCATATATCATAAACCACAGAATTTTGCACTATGGCAATCAGCTGAGCTGTATTCCAGTCCATAGTGAAAGAGTTGTTTTAGTCTGTTGATATATTGAGTGGTAGCAGAAATGGCATTAAGTCTAGTCTGGATAATCCATATCCTGACAGTTAGGCTTTGTTGTAATCCATTATTTATATTTCACTTTTCATTTGTATTTTCCATTGTTTTAATCTCTGAGCAGGAAATTCAAGAGAATGTCTCAGTAAAATATTCCAAGGGATCCATACATATATAGGAATTTGCATGGCTGGACTCTTACAGAGCACCACATCAAGCCCCATTCAGGAGAGCTCTATTTTTTTGGAGCAAATGCACATACATGTGGATTCCTACCTATGATGTTTGCTTGGAACATTTTATTGTCCTTGGTGGGAAGTTTATACAAACTTAGTAGTTAAAAGAAATACTTGCTGCTCTTTCATGAAAATTTTCCTTTTCTGTAGAAAGACTTTTTTTTCACCCAGCGTTTGAACTGGTGTGACAAATGGGTTAGTTGTGTGGGGTAAAACCCAGGATGCCTAAGTCCTTACTCCAAGTAAGGCATTACAACACTTCTTAGAAAGTTAATGCTTATACTGAGGAGTAAAGCTTGTGAGCTCCTTGTACAGTCCATAGGGTAGGCTAGTTGCCTATGAAGAATGATCCAAGAATTCACCAAATGTCAACTAGTAAACAGCTTCCTCCCCTTCTGGAATATTGACACCTGAGTTGGGCTGGATGCACGCTATGCGTTCCTTTCTTTTGTGAGCCTACATACTTTTCTCAACAGGATTTGCTCTTTCTAAAAGAGACTTTTTTGCTGTTCTTGATGATGCCTGACCATTCTCACTAATAGCTTATTATGGAGATCACTTGCTGTGGAAATCAGATAGTCCCATTCCAGCCCACCTTGGTTAACATAGAGGTTAGATCTACAATTGCTATAAATTAAAAATAAAATATATTAAAAAAAAAAAGCTTTAAGTAGCAGATGGCAGAATATTTTTCTGCTGAACACTGTTGCCATTTTTTGTTGTGTTATACATGTGCAAAGAGAGAAGAAAAAAGAGTACTGGCTTGGATATTCATGTGGAAGAGAAAATACCGGCTTTCTTGACCCTATGAACACTTGCATGTATTATAGTAAATGGTCATTGGTAAAGAATAGGAATAACCTAAAGAGTAGGAACCATAAATATAGGTCTACTAGTTCTAAGTTTGTACTTCATTTTTTGTGTGTGTGCGTGTTCTCATGTTCATTTAAGGGCAAAATCAGTGTTTGTATTACAGACCTGAAAAACATCACAAATAAAGCAGCATGAGAGTTTTTTATTTAAATGATGTGAGACAGGAAAAGGAAAATTGCATCTCATCTTGATGATCTGAAAATTCAGTTCTAGATAATGTAACTAATCCAGAGAATCACTGACCTCTAATTCTTCTGTCTGTCCGCTGATTTATTGTAGTCTTATCATTTTTGTGAGTAGGTATTTCTGTAAGTCTTTTAGAAAAATACTATAATAAGATAAAACATAAACTGGAAACAAACTCCTAAGTTGTGATTGTACTCAATATTATATAATACAAGTAATGAATTTATAAAATTTCTATTCTACATGTGTTAAAATGTATATGATTCTTACTCTTATTGGAAGGCCCTTCCAGAGTATTACTTCTCTGTTTAAAAATCCATAGTATAGCATGTCTGTATTTATGCCCAGTTTTAGGTATGAATTTGCATATCTCTTCTGTTTGACGTTTACTCTCCAGCATTACCTATCACAGTGGTCCATTTTTTCAGTTCATTGTTGTCAGCATTTTTGACAGTAAATTTCTCAGGAAATAGCAACTTTTCATTTTTTTTTATGATTTGATTAATAATGAAGATAACTAAGTAAAAGTTGTGAATTATACAATTTATAGAGACTATATGAATGCTGTCATATGTAGTACTAGTGTTTCTTGTTTCAATTTGTTTTATTTTCTCAACAGGCGGCTACGGCTATCATCAAATCTAAAATTCCAACGTATTGTTCTGTCTCCTCTTAAACAAGAAAACTGTAGCAATTTGTACTGTAAAGTGAAGTTTGGAAAGAAACTGCCTGTGAATGTCACTGACACTTATTTGGGGTACGGTATAATCTCTTAAAATAATCACAACTCCTCAGTATGATGGAGAGTGGGAAAAGTCCTATCAATTTATGAATATGTAATTATGGAAGACAACTTTAAAAAAGTCTCTCTGTATTGGCTGCTGTTCGCATATGCATTGTGCTTACAATGACATTGACTAACTGACTATTATTTCAAAAGCAGAGTAAATATTGATTCTTATTTTGTTGTAAATTACAATGTCCTTTAATATGTCAGCAGCTTTTAATGTTTTGTACATGTGTGATGCAAAATAATTTGGCTTTAATTACTAAAATAGTATCTTATATATGTACACCCACTTTTCAGACACATAACTTATTTTGTGCTGCAGTCACAGCTGATGCATTTTGGGTTCATCAGGATTTACTGGGTTAGATGTAGAGCTATGAGAAATCATCTGGACTTCTTGAGAGTCAGCTTTTAAAGGTATGAATGAGAACACACTAAACAGGTAGCATGCAGTGCAAAACTGAACTTGCTCAGTGCATTATCAGCACATTGTTTTGAGAAGCTGGAGAAGTTTTGGAGAACACAACGCAGAGACATCAGGTTGCTCCATAGAGCCACAGCCTAGGTTTTGCTCAACCAATTATTTCCAGTTAGCTGGAAATCCAGTTAGCTGGCCTACTGAATGTAAGCAAGATGTATCAGGCAACTTTGGAGTATTTACATTGTGCGCCCTTTGCATTAAGTTCTGTAATGCCACAGATGTGCTTAAGACTAGCCTGTGAATTCAGCACCAGGCAAGCTAATACACTTCTGAATGTAGAAGCTATAAACGAGTTGAAGACAATAAAAAGATTGCAGAAGTCAGCTTACCTGGCTGTCAAGCCTTGTAGGGGGCAGCATTTCTCCATTAACATATTTGAACTTGATAAAATAATTCCTAACAGGTCTTGTAATAAATACTGTTCAGGGTTCTCTGTAAGGGAGAGCTGACTGAGTAACAAAATACGCCACAGAACTTTTTTTCCCCTAAGGAAAATGAAATTCTGGAATTTAAATTTGTTTTTTAAAGGTTGTGTTTTGTTGTTTGTTTTTGTTTTGGTTTGTTTTGTTTTTTTTTTGTCATCAGAAGATGCTGTTTCATGTGGTATTAAAAAAGTTTATTGTATGAACATATGAAAGCAATTTCAAATTTTATTTTTAAATTTTATTTTTAAATTACCACTGCTTATAGAATCATAGAATAGTTAGGGTTGGAAAGGACCTTAAGATCATCTAGTTCCAGCCCCCCTGCCGTGGGCAGGGACACCTCACACTAAACCATCTCACCCAAGGGTTCATCCAACCTGGCCTTGAACACCGCCAGAGATGGAGCATTCGCAACCTCCCTGGGCAACCCATTCCAGTGCCTCACCACCCTAACAGGAAAGAACTTCCTCTTTATATCCAATCTAAACTTCCCCTGTTTAAGTTTTAACCCATTACCCATTGTCCTATCACTATGGTCCCTAATGAAGAGTCCCTCCCCAGCATCCCTATAGGCCCCCTTCAGATACTGGAAGGCTGCTATGAGGTCTCCACGCAGCCTTCTCTTCTCCAGGCTGAAGAGCCCCAGCTTTCTCAGCCTGTCTTCATACGGGAGGTGCTCCAGTCCCCTGATCATCCTTGTGGCCCTTCTCTGGACTTGTTCCAACTGCTTGGCTAAATTAAATTTACTTCAGGACCATGCTAAGATCAGAACTGTGCAAAAGCAAGGTCTACGTATTTAAGCCTCTTAAAAAAATTAATCTTGTTGACAAAAATGTTTAATTTGAATACAGGTATTTGCTTAACAACTTTAAAAAAATCGATCATGCTGCTGATTTTTCTTCATGTTTATTTTATTTTTTTTTTAACAAAATGTGCACACTTAGTTTACACAAGCACACTACAGCAGATTTCAGGTGTACATGTATTGTACTACTCTTATCCTACACTGGTGATAGCAGAGCAGCCTTCAACATGCCTCTAACATCCCATCTCTACACCAGAATAGATACCTGATTTATTTTTCCAAAGAATGCACTTGCAACATTCTTTCTATTTCATTAATCCCCTTTCACATTTTCTGCAGCAATGTCACAATGAAGATTGGCCTATATCTGATAGCATTTCACCTCTTTTGAAGAAACCTCTGTGGACTGTATATCTTAAAAATTACAGGGATAGGGGGGCAGTATTATATTTAGGTACATATTTTTATAGAAAAGTCTTTCCAGGTTCAGAATTAATGTAGCTCCAATCTTAATGAAGATGTGATCCTAAAAAAAGTAATGCATTTAGTACACATAGATGATATTGTATAGCTGAAGTTTCCCATTTTCTTTTCATTCTGTCTCATAACTGAAGATATTGCAGAAAGTTGATACAGATGTTAGCCTGTCTAGCAGTCAGTCATTATTAATATATGATACTACATAGTAATATTCATTCTGAGCACTGAGGCAGGATGAAAGATTCCAAAGTTCATGCCTTTTCTTCATTAAAGGCAGAAAGACACATACTCATGGAAACAGTTTTGGGTTTCTTCATGAAAAATTTAAGTTGGAAGATCCTTAATTTTAAGCAAAGAACTTTGCAGACACGTTGAAGAAGAATTAGAAATACAGTATGTAGGACTCCTCTCATGATAAATGCAGATTCATTAGGTAAGTGTGATTGATAGAAGCTTACTCATATTTGTTAAGGAGTATATCTACCTATAAGCAATGTCTTTTTTGTTCTACAGCAATTCTTCTTTTCAAGTTACCTATTTTGTTAGGTTTGGAGGTTTTTTTTAATAGAAAAGCAAGTCAAAGGTGGAAGGCAACAGCAGCATGATGTGCATTGCACATTGAGTACAGCACTTTAACTCAAAGTATTATTCAAAAAATGAGGACTACGCCATACAAATTTGGAAAAAAACCAAACATGGTAATACCTCTGTATAAATTAGAAGCTATTATTTGAGAAATACACTCAGACATCTGGAGCTTAATCCAATACAAATGAGTAGCAAAACTTAGAATATTTAGTTAATCTCCTTGTTATAGTATCTATTTTATCAATGTGTTGGAATTTAATAATGTAAGGTCTTGTTTTGTTTGGGTTTGGAGTGAAAACATGACTTTGAAGAGCAGTCTTATTAACTAACTAGCCACTGCTGAAGTGCTAAATTGTATAATTTAAAAATATTTTTTGGGGAGAAGTTTATAATAAAAAATTATTTGCATAATACATGTCTCAGTGTAAAGCTGAGTAATTTTATTTATGATAAAGTGGAAATCCATCTTTTAGATAATGTTGCAGAATAACTCATATTTGTCCATTAATTGTAGACCTACTGTCTTCATTAAATCACATTTTCAAAGAGCTGCATGGATCGCATTATGTTCTCATCCTGTAAAAAAAGAAAACAATAAACCAAAAATCATACACCATTACAAATATAGTTGGCCAATATCTATAGTGAAATGGGGTAGAGCTAACTGTATTTTAGTTAATGCTAACATTATTTTTGAGCTTGTTTGGAGAAATGGTTAGGAGAAAAAGGCTGGTAATGGATCTGTGCTTAAATAGGTTTGTGTATATATTAATTAAACTAAAACTATTCTATCAAGAATACAATAGCATGTTAAGACAGTTAATATTTTGGAGGTTACACGTTTATATGCAGTATAAAAAAACACATATAGACAATAAATACTCAAGTAATAGTTGCTGTACCTGAAGTGTGAATCCATACATGAAATTTCTAGTCCTGTGTATCTCACACAGGAGCCTTCTTGCAAATCTAGCAAATCTTGCAAATCTATTACATAGCTAGGGGTGACTCAAATAGATCTAAATGTGCATTTTTGCATGAACTGAAGGGTCAGTCAGTTCCATCACAACACTGACTCCTCAGCTACAATTTTCAGTGTGCTTACACTGAAAGATGTTGACTGCTTTCCCATGCTACTTCTGCATTCTGATTACTTTGCATTAGGTAGGTAACAAACCCTTTGACACCCAGGTTCTGCATAATGCTTTCCGATGCATCGCTGTGTACCTTGGTTTTTATCAGTAGCTAACTCAGCAAAGCAGTCAGCAAAAAATATTTTTTTTGTAAAAAAGATTTACCTTTCAGTGTATAGAATAATCAGTTTACTTGTAGTAGCCCATATTTGGTGGTGCTTTTGGATCAACAGTTGGTAGTACAATAAAATATATTCAATACAAGAGTATTTACATTTACAATTTGCTGGTCTCCAGTGTAATAATCCTCCCTCTTAATCTGAGTACAAACCCTTTAGTACTTGGAGAGATAATCTAGCCATCTTTAATTCCAGAGAGTGAAAAGACTGAATTTCATACACTGTTTTAGGAAGTTTCATGAAAGAGGTGTATGAAACCCCCACTTAGGAAAGTTGTCTCATGCCATTCTCCTGTGTAAGCTGCCTGTACGTTAATGTCCCAATAACACATGTTCAGTATCCATTTCCAGATAAATTATTCACTGTTCCGTCTAGTGGATGAATTGCTTTGTAGAAATGTCAAGTCTGAGTAATTTTCTTAATTTATGTTATGAAACACGCACAGTGGGGTTTTTCTTTGATCCTGTATGTCATCTTATGTGATGTTGCTGTAAGAAGTGATTTGTGCACTATTTTATGCTCCTGAACTACCTTGTGAACTAACTGAAAGCAGTAATACGTAATTTAAAAAAAAAAAAAAAAAAGATTAATGCATAAAAACCTTGTATAGGAAATTCACTGTATTGCTGGAAATTAAACTAACTTTTTTTCCCCACTACACTGTTTTGAAACATCAATGCACTATTGAATATAGCTGATTAATGTAATGTTAAAGTTTGATTTAACTGAGATAATTTGTCATTTAATTATTTACAAATGTTTTTTGGCAACTAACATTGGCAACTAAGCTCAGCAAACATGCCAAGCAAGCAACACTAATAAAGAAAGTGTTTTAAAACTTCCTAACAATTTTATATGTATCATAACTAATCATAGAGTCGTACCATAGAATGGTTTGGGTTGGAAGAGACCTTAAAGAAAGATCATCTAGTTCCAGCCCCCTCAGGGATACCTCAAAGCCGTGTCCAACCTGGCCTTCAATACTTCCAGGGATAGGACAGCTACAACTTCACTGGGCAACCTGTTCCAGTGCCTCATCACCCTCACAGTGAAGAACTTCTTCCTAATCTCTTCCTATCTAATCTCTCTCATTTTAGAGCTATAATGAAACTGGGTTTTCTAAAATCAGCTCTATATTCTGGTTTGCTGTTTCTGTATGGATAGACTTCCAGTGACCTTCCTTCAGTCAAATGGGAAGCGTCTTCACGAGAAAATACAGGCTTCTATTTGGAACAAGGTGACTTTTAATAGCTTTTTATTGCGTCTTCAAAAAAAAAAAAAAAAAGAAAAGCAGATGCTTGCATCAGAATCCTTTGGCAAGTATATCCTTCTTATTTGTCCCCTTTTTTTCAGTACATTTTTCTAAACAATTTTTTTGCCATGGATTTGTTTAACGATTCCTAACTCAAGACATTAGGAGGTGTTAATGCATATGAAAAGATAGTCCATATGACAGACAAAACATGGATCAACGAACTTTGCTCGGTCAGACACAACTTTAAGTCAACATTGAAGTTTTCCTTAGTGAAGTCTGAGATGGCTTGTTTGTTTTTTTAAGGCTAGCCCAGACTGTCGGCACTGTGTATGAAATAGGTTACTCCTGCAGAAAATGTCTATCCCAGAAGCCTTTTTATTATTAAGACCTTTACATCATTCAACCTGACATTCACCTATGCACCACGCATGCCTTAGTCCTTTGCCTCTGTAGTAGTGCTGCTGTAGATAGGAAGCAATGCCTGAGTCAGAGCATTTTCCGCCAGTACCAAGCTGTGAAAGGAGGAAGGTGGAGAACTGAGGAGCACCTCACCCTCAAGTTACAGAACTACTGTTTCCCAAGACCTCTCTCTGCTGTTTGGTACCTTATCCAAAGCAGGACATAGAGCACCTGCTTTTGGGGGCTCAGTCCAGCATACCTAGGGCTGTTTTTGCTGTGGGAGCAGCTAGACTCCTAGAGTCTGAATGGCAGACTGGCATTCAAGCACATGGGTAGGGAGGACAGAGAAATCAGGTCATACACATTCCTTGTCCAGATAGAGGGAGGACATTTTTGCTGTCTTCACTTAACTGTGGGCAAAGAGTGTTCCTTATACCCCGTGACCAGAGACGACCATGCTGAAAACCTGAATGATTTGTAAATCCCTACATAGCTGTTCAACATTCTGTGAGTGGACAGCCCATTCTTTGTATTGGGACCGTGAATTAAGAGTCTTGAACTTGCTGTATACTTCAGACTGTACAGTGCTACTGCAGTGATAACTGTGCCAAACTAGTACTTAGCACAAAGTACTACGTACTTTATTAAAAAGGCACATGTGTGTATGAGTGGTTAAGAACACACCAGAGACTCCTGATGTTGCAAAAAAATCTCAAGAACCTATTCCAGGAACCTGAAGTGAAGTCTCTGTATTCAGAGTGTGTTTACTTTAAGAGCGAGAAGGGACACAACAGAGCATATCTGAATATCATGCACACGTGCCTTTTTTAATAAAGTACCACCACAGCTGTCAAAGCCTAGAGAGCAGCAGATGTGCTGTGCCACTGTCCTGAACATCCTGAGTTTGATAAGCAATAGTTAATAGAACTAGCAGTGGTGTAGAGAGAGGGCCAAGTGTGATTAAGAGTGTGGGCTGGTTTCCCTGGGAAGAAAACTTGAACAATGAGTACAGCTCAGAAAAGATACTGAGTGAAGGGCAATAAGTAAGCACTATTTTACATAACATCAGAACATATAGAAAACATAAAAATATTGCATAATAGGTCTAAAGCACAGGCAGATTTACTACAGGAAAGATCACAGGATCATTTACTTTTGCTTTTGGCATTATTAAATGCTTATGAAAGATGAGACACCTCCTGGAGTGGTGTGATTCACTGCATGCGGAGGCAAGACAGGAACATGAACCTTACCTTTTTAGGTCAGCCTTGTACCTATTAAGATATTAAAAAAAGGTTTTCCTACAGCTGTGTTTTAAAAAAAAGCAGCCAATACTGTCCTTTGTGAAAAATGTAATGTGAAAAATGGCTGAAGCCATGTTAACACCTGAATCAAGTTTCTTGAAGGATTCAGCTTGACTCCTAACCCCAAATCTCATTTCTCAACCAAGTCTTGATACAAGCATGAATTACACACTTTGCAGCTCAGATGTCTTTATAGAAGACCAGGTCTTAGTAGGTAGAGAAATAAAAATTTAGGCAGCGAGATACTTTTGTATCAAAAAACATTGCCACCTTTGAAGTTAAAAGCAACTGAAGGCAAGTGTCACAATGAGAACGTTGTCTGTCATGTAGCAGTTTAGAGAACATCTCTCTCCCATATACTTTGAATACTCAGAAGAGGTAAGTAAGAAATCTAAGAGACGTACGAACCTGTCGAACCACATTGGAAAAGGAGACCAGGCAATTCCTTTCTGAAGGTACTAATTTTCTTCATAAATGAATCACTCAGCCCATCACCATAATTGCTGTCATATCCAGATTAATCTGTCATTTAACTTCCAGAACTTTGCAGACTCTCAGCTGGGAAATGAATCTCTTCTCCGTTTCTAATGATCACTCGGCTTTAGCAGAGCAAGAACAAGACTGACAAGCTAGAGCCAGTGCAGTAGAGCACTGCTGACAGTCAAGACATTACCCAGTATGAATTGCTAAGCGTATAAAGAATAGCCACAGAATAGTTTCATCCCCCAAAATCAACGGATTAAAATCAAACAGAATCACTTGCTAGGCGGCTGTGCTCATGAGAGCAACCCCAAGGAATAACTACAGAGGCATATAAAAATAGAACAATTCTAGAACTTCTTTTCTGTTTCCTTTTCACCTTTCCCTATTACAAATTATTAAAAATCTTACCACTCACTAACTGCATTTATCTTGCTAGTCTTATTCTCTCCTGACTCTTGTCTACTACTCTCGGTATAGGAGTTAAGCAACACACAGAGGCCATATTGCTGGTCTATGTCAGCTTCATATTAATCAGCCTGGAAAAGGGATCAGTAGAACACTGTAATGATTCCTTATATTTATCACTGTTACAAATGGTGTTGGGTTTATTTGCTACATCAATTTTGATAATGTATGATTACCTTATCACTGGATCTAACATGACAATTTACAGTATTTAATAACCTCTTATCACACCAGAGTCATCATCATTATTCTGCACTATATCCTGTTTCTTGCATTTTTAACTGACAAATTAACAGTAGTTCCTTATGTTTCTGAAAATACAACTTACCTTTCCTTATAACATCTCCTGGTCTGAGTGCAGGCTAGTCTCTGAAGGGCAGAGGAGCAAAAACAGGCTGCAATTCCTGATGCAGAAGTTTATTCTCATTCCTGGTTCTGGAGGCAAGGAGCTGCTTTCAGCAGCTGAAGGAAATTAACAGCCACCTCCATAGTATAAACACTTGCAACTGATAATCACAATCAGTTCTCACTCCCTTGCCTTGACAAAACTTGCCTGCTGTTAACTCCTGCCATCCAGCACTGCAAACTCCTTGTACTCTTGCTTTTTAAGGCCTCCAGCATGTCATGATTTGCTGGTGGAGAAAACTCCTATAGATGACAAATTTTCAAGCAGTATTAATATTATTATTATTGCTATGCCTGTATGCCAATTGTAAGAGGGATGTGTTCCCCAGCACGGGCAGAAGATAGAAATAAATATTTATCTGAATGTGAAGAAACCTTCTGCCATCAAATACAAACAAAGCACTGCTAAAGAGACCAGGGATGCGGACAGTTTTCCCTTAAGTAATGACAGCTTGCATATAGCATTTCTTCTAGAGATTCAGGACACAAATTTATTTAGATTGTTTAGTGTTTTTCTGTAATGGTGTACATACATACTCTACCTTGGGAAAATACTGCCTCTGGTTATTAGGATTACCATCACTGTCACTCCAGAAATCTGTGTAGTGCTACGATACACCTGACAGCATTAACAGATAAAAGTTCAATACTTATCACTGGGTACTTACTTTCTGGCAGCTCTCTATGAATTCATCTATGGTAACTACTCCATCTTTGTTTTTGTCCATTTTCTGTTGAGAAAGAATAAGAATGTATGTTTATCCTCCTGAAATCCTGTGTAAAACAAGTAATTTTTATTATCAGTTTTAGCTATATGTCAGCCTAAGGGATAACCAGGCCAAAATGCTGTAAAGATGTGGTAAGTGACATTGTAGAATAAGCATAAGGAGCTTATTGTTGAAAAAGCAAGGTGTGATGTGTAGATCTGAGAGATGTGGGACAGAACCACAGAGAAGAATATGGATTATAAAATTGGTAGGATATATATACCTGCTAACAGAGCTGGTTTTTGGCTCTATGTTACGCAACCCACCTGGAAAAACGTTTCCACGTGTTGTCTAGGTGCATCTTCCTTGAGAACAGGATAGGTGCATTTTCCCATCATATCATATATTGCTTTCATGATATCAAGCATTTCCTGAAGAAAAAACAATATGTCTGTGTAACGTAAGGTGCATTGTAGATACTGCTTTAACACAGACCACAAAAATTATTTTAGGATTTACATCTTAGAATAAAATTTTGAGATTGTGCCTGTTATTTTATATCTGAACAGCTTCAAGGAGGAGCTGCTATGTTACTATGTTCCTAGAAATTCTAGCATGTTTGTTCAGTTTTCATAGACATACTTCTTAAATACATGCAGATGTATAATTTTGATTTTAAATGGATTGTGGGAAGAATCTCCTGAGGTCTTGTTAAGAAAACTAAACAGAAGAAGTTCTGTAACACCAAGTGAATGGTCAAAGCACATCAGCTTCTTACAACTGAGGTTTTCATAAAGAAAACAGAAACACCCATGCATACACTTGCACATAAGCAGAGTCTTCCTTTCACATCAAAAGCTTTGAATTTTGTTAACAGAATGGCTTGTAAAAAATAGAATAATTATAAAAACAAGTCTTCTGCCAGTATGCTGTGAAATTATTCTATAGATCACCCTTTTGTAATAATTATGATTTTTCTAAAAGTGTAAAATTATAAGTGTAATATTTACATAAAGACCCACTTTGAAAAAAGTTCTATTTTTGTGTGTCTTAAACCATGACATTATGAAAGCACTTATTCGGTCCCACTGTAATTTAAGTACGTTTGAATCTTTCCAGAATAAAAGATGTAGAAATCTTTTGATATAAATTTTGTTTCAAATAAAAATTTTTAGACATAGATTCATAAAATGAGTAACAATTATGGCCCAGGTACTTTTTCTGTCCAAATAGCCTACCAGACTAATTTACTCTAGTCACTCTATGTGCAAGTACATAGGCATAAGTTGAAGCCAAACATTTCTGTACCTGAAGAACCTGACCTTTTACATTTTATGTGAAGATTTCCCCTTTTCAATTTTTATATATGCTTTCAAAATGAGAAAATTGCTTTATTTTTAGCATGTCTAGTTTCATAATATGTTTATTTGTTAATCTGTCTAATCTGACAGTGAAGCCATTCTTCTTTGAAAGCAAGATTTACATATACAACCTCTATTTTCAGTGATTAGTGTAAAAAGTAGGCCTTACCTCTTTAGTTATATATCCATCCTTATTTATATCATACAAATTGAAAGCCCACTTCAGTTTCTCTTGTACTGTCCCTCGGAGTAAAATTGAGAGACCCATAACAAAATCCTAAATAGACAAGAGGTCTTGGTCAGTTTGGAACTGAGCAGTTTTTCACAAACACCCAGAAATCCATAACAGTACATTTCCCAGAAGCACAGGTGTCTGGAAAAATGGGTTGTTTCTATTTTTTTTTCCTTCACAGTAAGTCTTAAGGATTGCTGTTTTTTCAAATAATTAACAATCTGAGCACTGTTTGCCACACTCATAATTAATAAGTAAATTAATTTTCTATAAAATAAGCCATAATTTTCTGTTAGTGGATTTATCCTCTGAAATGCCTCACATAAGCAGTTCCTCAAATTAATACCAGGGAAAAGCAATTCCCATGGTTTAATGGCCCAAAAAATAGCTCAAGTGGCAGTTAGAATAAGCACAGGAGACCAATTTTGGGAGAACTACTTACTAAGGAACATTAAATTCTTGTTAAATCTATACCTTGTTGGAAGTGGGATATGTGGTCCCAGACCTCTTAGATGAATCTGTTTCAGCCAACATCTGAAATTTCATGTATGCTACAGTACACCTCAATACTTAAAACTTTTATTGCAGGTTTTATAGGGAGTAATATTTATGATGTGTATAATCTTAAAGCTTTTGTGACCCACCAAAGCTCTATTATTGTAGAGCTATTCCACAGAAATAAATCAGAAGACTTTTGACATTATATATAGGTATAGATTTTTGTTTCATAATTAATACTCTTTAGACAGCACAAACCTTATCTACATTTAGTAAGCATCTTCCAGATGGGGGAAGATATCAACTGGGATATGCCATCACCTGTCTTCTGTATTTCTTAGCATATTAACTTTTTTTAAACAATGTTTTCCTTCCTATCTTCTCCCCCTTTTCCATTTGATAAGCTTGTAAACCCATAAATCTGTGAAACTCTCCCCATAATAGGTTGAGCAGAATATGGCAAGAGTTTATATTTAAGTGTGCACTTCTATGCCATTGCTTAAGACATACAAGATGTCTTAGAGTAACATTAAAACGGACACAATAAAAGCTGAAAAAATTCTTACTGGCACCAGCAAAGTTTATGCACTTCCTTAAAACAGTAACAATGGAAAAGACTGCACTGAGGTTAGACACCAATTACAAAGGTCTGATGTACTTCACAGTCAAGTATACCCAATAAAGTGACACATACACAGATATCATGGCCTCTAGTAGGGACAGACAGCTCCTTTGACAGCTTCAGGCTTCTTAACAATTCAAGTGGTTTGCTCAGCCTGTCATTGGTATATGTGCCCTTTGGGGTAAATGGATACATGAATCTTGAAAGAGTTTTTTGCTCAACTTGTCTACATCTCAATGACTAATTGAGGATCACAGGCTTAAATCTCCAAAAGCTCTTTAACAATGTACTACTAAGTATTAAAATGTTCAAAAAGTTCAGAACAGATTTGATCACCTTACAGCATTAGCAATTAACCTTTTTAATTCAGTACTATGTCTTTGAATCTTTTCTGCACTGTTTCACATTCTTGATGTGGCTTTTCCTGAAGTCCTTACCAACAGTCTGCAGTAACTTTATTTCCTTAGAGTATTATAGTTCAGAACTCTGAATTATTTTTTTAATTTGGTACCAGCAACATTTTTGCACTTATTCTACTTGAACCATATATATTTTTCTTTTTTTTTTCTTTCTTATTATTATATTTTTCTTTATTATTATTTCTGTTTTTTCCTTTCTTTTGCATCACTGCATCACCTGTAAGTTAGCTGTCTTCCTGGCATCATTTGTATCCCCATTTGCAAAGCTGCCCTTCTATCATAGGTTTTGAAAACCATGCATAAACCCCCTTGAACTTATGCTGTTTTGCATGATGCCGACTGTCCTTATAAAAGGTGAGACAATTCAAAAACCTTCCAGGTGTGTGCTCTAAACATTGCAAGAATGGGTCATCTCCTTTCATGTTGCACCAACAATGCTTGAGAGTCATATATAGTTCAGTTCAGATGCACTGACTTCATCTGAGTGTTGTACAGGAGCCATCTCAGGAAAAACAGAAAGGATTTATGATAAGAGCGGGGGTAACTTTTCTATGTACTTAATTTCATGCAATTGAAAAATACAGAAATAAAATCATATAGAAGCAGAAAATCTGATTCAATTGACATAGGCAAAATCCACAGGGTATTTTGGACTAGATCCTCAAAGGGAAAAATGCTCTGCATAGTGGAAGGCAATGTGTATGTCAGGAGCAATATACCTATGCTAGCTGTTAAGCGAGTAATCCACTGCAGAACCCTGTAGTAAAGCAATGGTGGTGGGGGTAGCAGCTAAGCTCAGAGAATGTCTGTCTATATGCTTGTTACCATCAACTCAGTGACACACGAATCAGGCACACCATTTAGAAGGCAGCATGAACCTAACTCCCCATTACAGTATCAGAGTAGCCAGATGTGCTTTCATTTCTGGTTTAGACAACTCTTCAATAGGAACTGTAGTGGTAGTACAAGGGGTAACAGGTCCAAACTTAAACAGCGGCAGTTTAGATTAGATATAAGGAGGAAGTTCTTTCCTGTTAGGGTGGTGAGGCACTGGAATGGATTGATCAAGGATGTTGTGAACATCCCATTCCTGGCAGTGTTCATAGTTGGGGTTGAACAGAGCCTTGGCTGGAATAGTTTAGTGTGAGGTGTCTCTACCCATGGCAGGGGGGTTGGAACTATGTGATCTTAAGGTCCTTTCCAACCCTAACTATTCTATGATTCTATCCTATGATTGAATGATTCTAACTGATTCTGGAGAGAGGAATTCTACTTATAGAGCTTATTTATTTTTTAAATAAGATTCTCAGTACTTCTTAGACACCTACATGCCTTAAAGATGCCAACATTGTCTATCGAGAGGGACAGTCTTGCTCAGCTGAGCACCTGATGAGCATGCTAATACCTATGAAGACCTCCATTAAATGCCAAACTCTCCTATGCTTAACTTTGATTCTGCAAGAAAGGGGGATGTCTCACTGAAGGGTGACAGCCTCACCTGTACCAGAGGCTCTTTGTGCTCAGTATCACAACCTGCTCATATTTCCGTTCTGCACTACAGCTGTATAGAGCCTCTGGTTGTCATTTGGGATTGACTTGTATTTGTTTGGGTTGTTTTTCTAGGAGTGATTAATTATCTCTTAGAAAGGTTGTTGATGACTTTCTGATTACTTTATCAAATCTTTGGGGAAAGCTAGTTCATTAATAAATTAATTAACAAGCTTAATAGTATGCTGTCCATATACCTATAGGAAAGCTTAAAATTATTTCACCTGATCCTCCGTTCAATACCAGATGTAGGTAGGCAGGCACCTAAATCAATTTTTGGATTTAGACCTTGGGATTTTGGAAAGGCACCAAGTGATGAATGTCAGTCCCACAAGTGGTAAAGCCCTGGCATGCACAAAACAAAGAGTAAGAGGAAATATATTTCTTTGTAGCTACAGCTGGAATTAAAATGCTTATGAGATCACTATTAGCTCATTTCCTACATGACATGAACAGGACTTTTTGCACTGAACACAGAGAACTGCACTTGTAAACCTCATGAAGTTCAACAAGACCAAGTGCAAGGTCCTGCACCTGGGTCAAGGCAATCTCAAGTACAAACACAGGCTGAGCAGAGAACGGATTCAGAGCAGCCATGAGGAGAAAGACTTGGGGATGATGGATGACAAAGAGCTCAGCATGAGCTGGCAGTGTTCGCTTGCAGCACAGAAAGCCAACCACATACTGGGCTGCATCAAAAGGATCATGACCAGCAGGTTGAAGGAGGTGATCCTGCCCCTCTACTCTCATGAGACCCCACTTGGAGTACTGCATTCAGGTCTGGGGCCACAACAAAAGAAGGATGTGGACCTGCTGGACTGAGTCCAAAGGAGGGGCAAGAAGATGATAAGAGAGCTGGAGCACCTCTCCTATGGAGACAGGCTGAGAGAGCTGGGCTTGTTCAGTCTGGAGAAGGCTCTGGGATGATCTTAGAGCAGCTTCCAGAGCCTAAAAGGGACCTACAAGAAATCTGGGAGGGATTTTTTACAAGGGCATGAAGGGACAGAAAAAGGGGAATGGCTTTAAGCTGACAGAAGGGGGATTTAGATTAGATACTAGGAAAAAATTCTTCACTGTGAGGGTGGTGAGGCACTGGCACAGGTTGCCCAGAGAAGCTGTAGGTGCCCCATCCGTGGAAATGTTCAAGGCCAGGTAGGACAGGGCTTTGAGCAACCTGGTGTAGTGGAAGGTGTCTCTGCCCATGGCAGCAGGAGTGGAACTGGATGATCTTTAGGGTCCCTTCCAATGCAAACCATTCTAACTATTCATTAAATTGCTATCCTCATGTTACTGCCTTGCAGACAATGCCTGTTTATCACTGTACTGAAATATCAAAGTTGTGTTTGATTAAGATCTGAACTGTCCTATTGAACCGAGTTAACATGCTTGTTAATTTGTTAATTAATGCAAAATTCTCAGGTAACAATTGAGGAATAGAATCATAGAATCATAGAATAGTTAGGGTTGGAAAGGACCTTAAGATCATCAAGTTCCAACCCCCCTGCCGTGGGCAGGGACACCTCACACTAAACCATGTCACCCAAGGCTCTGTCCAACCTGGCCTTGAACACTGCCACAGATGGAGCATTCACAACCTCCCTGGGCAACCGATTCCAGTGCCTCACCACCCTAACAGGAAAGAATTTCCTCCTTATATCCAATCTAAACTTCCCCTGTTTAAGTTTGAACCCATTACCCCTTGTCCTGTCACTACAGTCCCTAATGAAGAGTCCCTCCCCAGCATCCTTATAGACCCCCTTCAGATACTGGAAGGCTGCTATGAGGTCTCCACGCAGCCTTCTCTTCTCCAGGCTGAACAGCCCCAACTTCCTCAGCCGATCTTCATACAGGAGGTGCTCCAGTCCCCTGATCATCCTCGTGGCCCTCCTCTGGACTTGTTCCAACAGTTCCCTGTCCTTTTTATGTTGAGGACACCAGAACTGCACACAATACTCCAAGTGAGGTCTCACGAGAGCAGAGTAGAGGGGCAGGATCACCTCCTTCAACCTGCTGGTCACGCTCCTTTCGATGCAGCCCAGGATACGGTTGGCTTTCTGGGCTGCGAGCGCACACTGCCGGCCCACGTTCATTTTCTCATCGACCAGCACCCCCAAGTCCTTCTCCACAGGGCTGCTCTGAATCTCTTCTCTGCCCAACCTGTAGCTGTGCCTGGGATTGCTCTGATCCAGGTGTAGGACCTTGCACTTGGCATGGTTAAAATTCATAAGGCTGGCATCAGCCCACCTCCCAAGCGTGTCAAGGTCCCTCTGGATGACATTCCTTCCCTCCAGCGTATCAACCGAACCACACAGCTTGGTGTCATTGGCAAACTTGCTGAGGGCGCACTCAATCCCACTGTCCATGTCAGCGACGAAGATGTTGAACAAGACCAGTCCCAACACCGATCCCTGAGGGACACCACTCATTACTGGTCTCCAGCTGGACATTGAGCCATTGACCACAACTCTTTGCCTACAGCCATCCAGCCAGTTCTTTATCCACCGAGTGGTCCATCCATCAAATTGATGTCTCTCCAATTTAGAGACAAGGATGTCGTGTGGGACAGTGTTGAATGCTTTGCACAAGTCCAGGTAGATGACATCTACCGTACCGTCCTTCCAACAGATGTCAGGGTGGTTGAAGTCCCCCATGAGAACAAGGGCCTGTGAGCATGAGGCTTTTCCTACCTGTCTATAGAGTGCTTAATCCACAGGTTCTCCTTGATCAGGTAGTTTGTAACAGATCCCCACAGTAATGTCTCCCATAGCTATATTCCCTTTAACCCTGACCCACAAACTCTCTTGAATAAAGGAATCAGAAAATCCTTTGCTAAATTCTTTGCTAAGAATTCACTTTTGGAGAAACAAATGTAAGTTTGATTTTGTTTAAGTGTCAAAAACCTTTAAACATCTCCATTGCATTTGGGCACAGCTTTGCAGTTTAAGGCACTGACAGTGGGATTACTGAGTGACCTTCCCCTCATCAAGATCACATTCAGAATACCCTTAACCTGCAGCTACAACAAACTAAACTGATTTGGATATTTGCATGTAGTTGTAATGTGCTTTACATTTGAGTATTGAAGTTAATTAGCCTCAATTTTCCTGGCTCTATAAATAGGCTTGAGGGCCAGGTCTTCATTTTGGTTCAGTTATAAAATTCATGCAGCAAGTGAAAACTTTGCTGTCACATCTCTCTCTGTCTGATTAAAAAAGTTCACTAATAAGCCAAAAGACCCCTTCAATGGCTGGGTCATGGGTTGTCTGAAATTTTCTCACTGATGTTAAAAGCAAAACTAGTTGGCATAACTAATTTTGGAAATAAATTGGTGTCAAAATTGATACAAGTATGGGATATGGAGATATAGGTTCAAGCAGTTTCATGAGTTTATTTTTTATGCTACATAAAATGCTTCAGTTGGAGGGACTGACTCTTATCAGAGCATATAGAGATTTAGGGATGACAAAACTCTTAAGGACATAGCAATCTCACTAGGCAATCTCATCCAATGATGGCATGTGTTTAAGTTGTCCTAAAGTCTAACACTTCATTGCTGATGATTGAAAATTTGAGGAAAAAAGAGCAAAAAGCTGGAACAAATTCTCCCTTTTTTCTTCCCCACAACCCCAGTTACCACTGCTTCATTAGAAAAATGAGAGTGCAACACCAAAAATCTCATTCTCACCTACATTCTTTCAGTACCATTTCAGTTTTTCATATCCTTTTTACATAGAAGAGAGCATTTTCCATCATCAGTTGTTATATTAAATTGTTAGTGCAAATAATAGCAAAGCCTGTATCACTCTTTTGAGTCTATATTGAACAAAAGTAAGCTGGAAATCTGTCTTGTCAACGACAAAAACCCCACTGCTTCTTTTATTTTCCTGGTTTGTTTTATTCCAAAGCCTTTTTTGTACACAGACCTGCACTTTCGAGATATTCAAATCCCTTAGAAAGGGATTCGTATTTACGGCATTTCTTAAAGCTTTCTATCTGAGATACAAACGTCAACAAATTGTTCAGGAAAGAGACAAAAGCTTCTTTTATTCTCATTATTCTTAATGTTAACAGCAGAAATACTTCTAAAATACTGATGCTGAAAATGTTTTCTCTCATTACTTCTGCTTTTGCTGATTTAACTAGAAAGATTCCTTGTAGAAATAGCTTATGGAGAGAAGAAATGAATAAAACCTCCATTCCTGTTTCTACCTTCACACAGAGCCCATTGATTCCAGCTGCCCATGAAACATGTAGAAAGTGTTCTTGTTTTTCTAAATAAATGCAAATAACCCCCCACAAAACGATCTGGTTATGGTTCCATGTGAAGTATAGATTCCCAATTGCAGTGCACCTATCTGCTTGGTGAGGCATCTCCTTCTATATTGCATGAATAATAAAGCAATGCAAATGTTTTTTAAAAAGTTCTGGCAGACCTCACATCATCGTTCACTCAAGTAAATCATAAAAACACATATAGGACATATGAACATATTTAAAGTGGGTGTATTTATGACAATCCAGTCTCAACTTGTAAGGATATAATTTGTCCATTATAAACAAAACAAAGGAAAACATGACAAAGCAAACATACACTTTTGCAAATGAACCAAGACGATTTAATTCTATCCCTCAAAATAATGGCTCCCTCACAGTGTTTTGTACACCCTGCTTTAATCTAAACTATTGCAGCGGGTTGCCTTTTTACCATATTGCATTGATGACCTCAGCCTTAGCAGGGAAGGGCAGAATTTTGAAAACAGATTAGGCAGTTCAACAGAGGAAGAATGAATTTGAAACTCTTGTGCTTTTAAATACATTTGCTTTAAAGCTGTTTTTCTGTAGAACCTTCTCCTGGAAAATAATGCAGTATGTGAGCAATCCTATTTTGGCTGAGTCATCCTCATAACATTAGTTGTAGTTAAGAGTCCTTCTCACCTTGCAGAAGCAGGGAGGATGATAAGGATTATTTTATGTAACTTGTTTATAAATGGGGTTACAGATTTATAAAAGTATTACATAGCAGTATGGTTTGAGTTGCCATTTAGGGATATACAATTAAAATAAATAATTACTTTTGTTAATACTTTGGAAAAACTTGAAATCTGAGTCATATAAGCTAAATTTTTAATATAGTAAAAGCCACCAAATGGAACTTAATTACAAAGCATGGAAAAAATATTCAATTACAGAGAAAGATGTAACAGCATCACTTACCTCAAAACTTACAGATCCATTGTGATCAGTGTCAAATGCATTAAACAGAAAATGTGCATAAGTTGTGGAATCTACAATTTAAAACAGTAAAAATAATTCATAGTAAGCACATCTTATCTGAACAAATAGCAAAGTCACATTACTGTAATCTGAAGCAACCTGTCTTAATGGCAAAGCTACCTTACCAGTTAAATGACTGTGATGGGGTCTATCTCACCTGTAAAAAAGAAAAATGTGTTCATTTGCTCACTTTAAATGAGGGAAGCAGACGTCATCTGCACATCTGGCATATGGGTTTTACTCAGAAGACAGGCCTGTCAGCCAGGTTGAAGTTGAGCTTGTCAGAAAGCTGCTGCTGTGCTTGCCTCATATGCTCAATTACAGGTGAGATAAAATCCTGTCCAGAGAAGCAGATTCTTAAAGCTGGTTTGCTGCTTAATTCCCATAAACATTTTTTAAGGGCTAGCTACTTAAAAACCTTGGAAAAACTGGCTATGACTAAGTGAAGTGGTCAATAAGACTCTGAATGATGACCTTAAACAAGTGATCTCTTCACTATTTTACTTTATTTTTCAAGCCTACTGACCAGTGCATATTGACTCATTTTCGAAACACAAGACTCTATACAAACACCCATAGTATGGGGAACAAACAAGAGGAATGAGAGATGTGGGCATGTCTACAGGGGTATGATATAACAGGCATCACAGAAACATGGTGGGATGGCTCCTATGACTGGAGTGTTGGAATGGAAGGTTACAGGCTTTTTGGAAAAGACAGGCCTGGCAGGCGGGGAGGGGAAGTTGCCCTTTATGTTAGGGATAGGATGGAGAGTATGGAACTCTGTCTGGGGACAGGTGAGCAGTCAAACAGAGAGTTTGTGGGTCAGGATTAAAGGGAATATAGCTATGGGAGACATTACTGTGGGGATCTGTTACAGACCGCCTGATCAAGGAGAACCTGCAGATGAAGCACTCCATAGACAGATAGGAAAAGCCTCACGCTCACAGGCCCTTGTTCTCATGGGGGATTTCAACCACCCTGGCATCTGTTGGAAGGACGGTACGGCCTGGCACAAGCAATCAAGGAGGTTCCTCGATTGTGTGGAAGACAACTTCCTTCTGCAAGTAACAGAGGAGCCGATAAGGAGAGGTGCCATGCTTGACCTCGTGCTCACCAACAGGGAAGGGCTCGTTGGAAATGTGATGCTCCAGAGCAGCCTTGGAAGCAGTGATCATGAGATGCTCGAATTTGAGATCCTCAGGACAGTGAGAAGAGTGTGCAGCAAGCTCACTGCCCTGGAGTTCAAAAGAGCAGACTTTGGCCTCTCCAGGAACCAACTTAGTAAGGTTCCATGGGATACAGCCCTAGAGGGCTGGGGGACCCAAGACTGTTGTTTAATATTCAAGGATCACCTGCTACAAGCTCATGAGTGTTGCATCCCAACTAGAAGGAAGCACAGCAGGAGGGCCAGGAGACCTCTTTGAATGGATAAGGAGCTCCTGAGGAAAATTCAAATGAAAAAAGAGGCTTATTATAAGTGGAAGCAAGGACAGGTGGCATGGGAAGTATTCAGGGATGGTGTCTGGCAAGCTAGGGACCAGGTTAGGAAAGCTAAGGCCCAGTTAGAATTAAACTTGGCTACGGATGTTAAGGATAACAGGAAGGGATTCTGGCAGTGTTCAAGGCCCATTTGGACAACCCTTGGGTGATATGGTTTAGTGTGAGGTGTCCCTGCCCATGGCAGGGGCGTTGGAACTAGATGATCTTAAGGTCCTTTCCTACCCTAACTATTCTGATTCTGTGATTCTAAGACAGCATGAATATAAATTTGTCAAACCTCTAAGTTTTCATAGAGATCTAGCTTTGCATTTTCTTCCAACAGCCACAGCCTGCTCCAGGAGATACCTAGCAAAGAGAGAACTCCAGAGGCTGTGCTGCTGATGTGAGCTACTGGGGTTTTGGGAAGTCAGGTTTCTTCAGTGTCTTTTCCCTGTCTTAAAACCTATGCAAATTAATGTAGGCTAAGGTATAGTTTACTTTTAATAGTTATTACTTTCCTCCTTCTACTTCGTGTATTTACATTAATTTTAGTTTAATTAACAATGACCTCACAAACTTTTAATAAAAGGAGACTGTTACAAAATCTGAGTCCCCCTTGTATGACAAAACCTTTCACATCATCAGTTCTGAGAAGCCTTTTGCTGTTTTCTTGGCACTAAGCCATTTTAACTTTCATATTAATCCTGAAAACTTTTATTTGTCACAGCCCAAAATATTGTTTTGAATTAAACAGTGATAGTCTTGGGTCACTCACCTGAAATGGTATCTTGACCCCAAGGAACCAAATATACCAAACCTGAAAACTCTGTACTTCACAGAGTCAGAATTGATATTAGTAAGTAATGTTTCTGGTCTTACTTTATTAATTTAATATCATGTGAAATAGCTACAACAAGAAAAAACTCGGAAACCTTTAAACCTTGTGTCTGTTAATCTATTTACAGAGAATTAAAAAAAAAAACAAACGCCAAAACCAAAACACTGTGGAAGGTGTTGAGACATTCATTCATTCATTCATTCATTCATTCATTCATTCATTCATTCATTCATTCATTCATGTATCCTGTTATAAGTGTAATTGCTTAAGCATAGCCTAGGAGATAAATTCATACTTTAACAGAAAAAATGAAAACGTGCTGACTTCAATTTATATTTAGGATTTTTATAGTTATATTTTCTACATCTACTGAGACTTCTGTTGTGCAACAGAATACACTATGCAAACCATCCTCAGGGAAAATGCATATTACAGTGGTATAATTACTTTAAACTGAATTTTAAATAGCTTCTCAGTCTCTTGGTATTTATTTCTTAGAAACATGTGGAATATTCCTAATTATTTTCTGTAGATTTACAGAAAACACATAGGTTATTACAAAGATTTTCTACTGTTTGTTGCCCATACGTGTTATATGTCCTTTTTTGTATGACGGTATATGAAAAGAAGTCCCAGTTGAAGAATCTTTTCTTTCTAGTAACCCTTTTTTAAAATATAAAAAGAGATATTTTTCAGGGTTTGTTCAGGCAATTCTGGTCTGAAATTTTACCTCCAAAACCACAGAAGTATGATGTACACTAGTCTTTAATCAGAGCCACTTAATGTAATTCCCTTCTGCCTCCACCCCACTAAATCTTGAACATTAATCATGTTAGAAAAAAGCTTAACTTTTTAAACAAAATATGTTTTCTTTGCAGGGTTATGATATCATAACTGGTAGGCTAAATTGATATTTTGACAGGTTGAGACAGGAACAGATATAAAATCAGATTTCCTTTGAAATACACCATTAAATCATTTTAAACATCAGAGAAAAAATGGTAGTCATTATACATCCAAACCTAGGTCTTATCAAACCCTGGACATAATCTGTTCTGTTCATAACATGAAGGAGGAGTGCAATAATTAGTCAGTGTGTGGATTCTTATCTACAACTCTCCCAGCCGAAGAACAAATCCCAAGTTATATTGCAGGTAATCCACTGCATGAATGCAGGGGGCCTATTCACCTGTATGGCAATGGGTTTGTAAAAAGAAGTTATTGGAGTGCCTTTCTGTCATGGAAAACCACTTACAAATCTACTTCTTCTTTTACTGCAATCCAGTGTACCTCCTTTTTTGTGCTTGTTCTTTTTCTATTCCTCCTGTACTTTGTCCTAGATCGTCTTGAAAGTTGCTTGATGAAGTGATTTGCTGGTTGTCATTGGAAAATTTCTTTTTGATGACTGTTTGGTCACCCTGAATCTTAAAATCTTACCCAACATCATTCTGTTTGCTCAGATACGAGTTGTTACAATGACAGATCATATTGTATCTGGTTTGTATCTGGTTTACATAGGCATTTGGTATCCAGTCTGGCTGCTTAACTAGACACTTAAATATGATGATCTCACCCTGTTGTGATGAAATACAGACAGTCAATTGGGTTTTGAATATACCTTGGCTAATGTGAGGAACAAAGAATAGCCTTTGGCTCCCATACCTCTCAGAAAATGGCAAAGTCAACACAGGCACCTACAAAACGGCATAAAACCTACACAAAACAGATCCAGTCTTCATGGGTGCACAGAAATTAAAGGATTACTGATGTGAGCTGTTACTCTTCCAAGAAGACTTGGCTCTTCTGCTGTTTGCACTGAATATTTTTCTTGAAATTTTGAGTAAAACTACATTAGGTTTTCACATTTGTTTGTGCTGTCTCTATGTACCACTAGGGATTCACGCCCTTGTGTGGAGGCCATGGAGGAGGGGGAGGAGAAGGGGACAACTTTTGATTGTCACTTCCCAGTACTCTTCATTGAGATCTCTGAAAACGCTTTATTATAAAAGCTAAAAATGCTATTATGAGTGCAGAACAGCATATTATTGATGAGTGAATTATCTGCATTTGGTACTTTTCTACCCTGCTAAAAATCTAATTTTTCATTGTATTTTACTGAAGTTAAATGAAGCAAGAAGAAACAGGTTTTTATTTTTCCCTTTTCCATTTTATGTTTAGGAAAGTGTAGCTCCCTTGTTGCAAAGAGAGTAATGTCATTGCTGAAACTCCAATGAACTGTGTAACCATGTATTGCCATTGCTAATAAGAAGCCGCAAGCTTTATAAGGTGCTTGTCCCAGGACAGAGGCTCGTCAACTTGGAGCCATGTTTCCTGTGGGTTAGCTGTGACAACAATCTCTCAAATTGATGGGGTTTCTTAGTCTCATTGATTTTAGTTCTGTGGTGCAACTACAGCTTTACACATGTAACAGTAATAGGCAGTTATTCTATGTAGAAGCAGGCATTCATTACTAACATAATGATGCAGTGAAGAACTTTTTGCCCCACACATCAACACAGACCTTGAGCAGCTGAGGGATGGGATTTAGCACAGAGGAGAGCAGGTGTGTGATGAGAGGGCTCAGGACAAAGACTGGCACTAGGAACCCCACAGCCACAAACAACTCACTCAAAGTCAGTTAAAGAAATGTGGGTATGGAGATGAACAAAACTGGTTTTAGGGGTAGCAATGCAAAGAAATAGTATCTAACACATGTAAAAATCACCACCTACAGTCAGACTTGAGTGTAATGTGGAGCTGCAAACAAATGGAGAAATATAAAGGCTTAAAAACATGTCAGCAAGCATGTAGAAATGACCCCAGGTGAATCCTGTGAGGAAGCTGAAAGCACCAACATGAACATCGTATTCCTCCTGCGGAAGGACTCCAAATGCCAACAGTCCACTGCAGTCCCCACCTTCTCCTCCACATGATGCCACTGCCCTAAAGGCCCAGAGCAGCAGTGGAAGGGTGAGCATTAGCACCAGGAAAAGGGGTAGAAACTAAGAATTGAGTATATATCAATTTCAATTACATTAATATTCTTCCTGTAACAATTAGGTCTAGACTAGAATATTAGGATTTTAAGATTGCATTTATTCTCACAATACATTTTAGCTCTACTTTTAGAAAAGATGTGCCTGCTCTTTGCCCATAAACAATTCTGAGTGTTACAATAGGAAATATTATTGAAGTGTAGTAAAGGTGTAGTCACATGCAAAGAATTATTTTCATTAGCCAGGGTAACTAAAAAATATAATATCAGAAGCTGTAATTGTTAGCTTGGTTTAAAAGCTTAGATACAGAAATAATCAGTAGGCAGGTCAACTCTTCTAGCCTTTTGTTCTTCCCTATTGAGTGTGCCTACTTAGTAAGGATTTCAGTGATGGTAATCCATACTGAATGCTACTCTTTATCTTCTAAGTCTTCATTCAAAATAAAACTAATTGGTACATGTTTTGTTCGTACCAATTAAGTGTGTGGGTTTTTAAAATACAAATGAACAGAAAGAGGTATGAACAGTCCCAGGGAAACATGCAAATCTCAAGAGCTGTGGGAGAAGATGAACAGGCAGCACTGAAGTGCTGTAGGAGAATATGAAGAAGGAGTATTGAATGACAAAAGCAAGAGAAAGGGAAGAGAGGAAAACAATTCAAATTGAAAGAAAATCCAAGGTTCCGGACAAAAAAAAAGTGTTACACATTTTTGTATTATCTTCATTGCACTAAAAGGTACTAAAGAAAAAGAAAGTAATGGAACTCCTAGAAGCTGATTAATTGAAATTCAGGTTAGCAAAAAAAAAAAAAAAAAGCCCTTATATAAGTAAAGAAACCACATAGAAGTCAAAGGGGTTCTGCCATTAATATTAGAGGGTACCTGTAGTGCCTTCTACAGTTTTCATTCCTACTGTGAAAGATTTTGTGGAATAAAACAGAATGAGGAAGGCTGTGTAGAAAGTTTAAAAAGAAATAATCTACTTGGAGAAACCTGGCTTTCAAAGGTACCCAAACACAGCTAGTAACTTCATAATAGAAGACTGACTTCTTGTAGGTATCACTACATTCCATTCAGAAATATATACTTTAAAATGTGTTCATCCATAAGGAAATTATCCCTTGAGTTCAGATAGAGCTTGAGACAACAATCGTGTCAAGTTGAGCAATGGGTCTTTTGTCAGACTTAGGAACTAACAAACAAAGCTCTTTGCTCACTGTAGTACTAATTACGTGCACTCACCTCCCTGTGGAAAGAACTGAGAGTAAATCTCTTTGAAGGTTTCTTCATTCACAACACCACTGGGGCATTCCTGAAAAAAAGTGAAAGACGAGAACTGAATAGCATCCAATCTGGTCCAGTCAAATTATGTGTTCATGAGACGCTACAGAACATGAATGTAACTGGGGGTTTAACATGTCTGATTTTGCACTCTCAACCGAATAATAATGCATTAAATGTTTATCACTTTGAAGCATCTTCCTAAAGAGTTCCCATGGAACAAATATTTCTTCTGTGCCATATAACTCAGCTTCAGTGTTGAGACCTGAGTTAGATGTGAGCAGCAACCACTCTGCTGCAGGAACTATTGGTGTCGCTGTGGGACATGGGTGGTTGCTCCTGCAGCTGCCAGCAGCATTTGTGTGGTATGGAAACCAAGCAGGAATGTAGACTGCATTTGCAGTTAGGTATTACTGATAGATCATGCAGTCATATTGTACTGGAACAGTTATATTCAATGAATTCAAAAGACCCTGCAACAGAAAATTCTATTCAAACCTTGCAGATACTTCTGCCTCTTTATATATTTTTCATAAGCTGCAATATGTAATAAAGAATAAACATGAAGTGTCAGAACAGATTTATTACAAAGAAAAAGGAAGTAAAGTGGAAGAAAAGAGGATTAGACCAGTGAGTTTAAAAAAATTACTTATGTAAAGAGGTAGGAAAAGCAGAAGGAATATTATTTTGTTTACTAAGTCGCACATAAACATCAAAGGCCAGACAGACAGCTTCTAGACTTGAATTTGTCAGATTGAGCAGATGGCTTTGGGCAATGCACTTAATTCCCTTTTGTATTTATTCCTTTAACACAGAGTGTGAAAAAAGCCTCTCAAGCTCTTTAAAAGGAAAGTATTTCTAGAAACAAAGGTAAATAAAAAAAAGACAAATTAAGTACTAAGATTTATATATTTATTTTTGTCTATTTCTATGCTATGTGGAGTGATGGCTCAAATTTATTTACTCCTAGTCCTAAACTGGAGAAAGGAAATAGCTTTAAATGAAGTTAAAGAACAGTGTAAGATCTTTTACCAGTGTAACAACAGATTTTCCTGTGAGAGCAGATTATATTTCTATTAGCTCAAATAAGGAACACTGAGATATTCCTAGTTATGACAGCTTCTGCTAAGAAACAAACAGTGTAATCTTGCTGAGAGATGAATGCACTGCCTGAAAAATGCATATCAGAACTGTAAATCTACGATTATTTTGATTTATGTCACTTATCCTCAGCCAAAATCAGCTCTCCACCATAACTAAGCACATGCAAGCATGGAGTAGGAAACAATTCTGTTTGATCAGTACAGATGTAAAACAGATGTCATAGAGACAGAAGTATAAAATTTGTTCCTGGCCACAGAGCCTGTCACTGATTAGACTTACAGCACAGGCCTCTGTAAGACAAGGTATATACTGACTGCTGGGCCACACTGCCTTTCAAACCAAAGCCTTCAGGGAATGGGAGGAACAGGAAAATTAATCTAGCATCTCTACCCTTCATCAGGGAAGGAGGAATCCATTAGGTGAGGCGTTATCTCCCTGCCTGTCATGTATTTGGTTGTGAGGACATTCTAAAACATCTCTCTCTACTTCCCCAAAAGACTGTAGTCAGATAGGATACCGTCTTTGTGGTCCCCAGCACGTTTACTAGCTTGTCCTTTTATGTGAAGCCTTCTGGTGTTATATAAGTACACGCAAAAAAGCAGTGGTTTTACTTGTATTTGAAGCACAATAAAGAAAACTTCAGAGAAGTGTTCAGGTACTCACTGATAAAATGTTATGCAATGTAGAAAATTTGACAAAAGTATTTCATAAATCCCAAGCACACATCGGTACATAGTCTACATCATTCCCAGACTTCATGCCCCAGGAAGAATAAGGGGAAGCCTTCTCCCCTAGATGGGTGGGAGTGTGAAAGAACAATGCAGTATTTTAAAATCTAGAAAAAAACTGCTGTGGCTCCTTTCTGTTCCATATGCAGTATCTTTTCAGACAAAAAGCTAGGCACATTTTGAGTGAACTAAAAAAGAAAACCAAAACAAAGTCCCTCTATATATTTGAATGTCTACAATTCAGATTTTCCTGGTTTTTTTTCTTTCTTTTTTTTTCTTTTTAATTGTGAAGCTTAACAAATAATGAATGACAAAATGTGCTCCTACATTCATCTAACTCTGTGGCTTATTAACGTGTACAGCAATTTTTCTACCTTTTCCTTGGATGAGAAAGATATTCAAAATATGCTCATTTTGCATAGAGTACAATTCCCTTTTTTACAAGAAATGCCACCAACTCCAGCTGTGCCAGTCCTTAGTCTGAAGCTGTGAAGAATCAGAGTTCTATTTCCCGACTGCATTTAAATGTTGTGATACTAGAGGAGAATTAAGGGTACTCTGGAAAAAATTGTCTGATTTATTCTTTGTTAGTTCAAAACGAGTTAGCAGCCTAATTTTAGAGAAATACATGATATACATACCTCATTTAAAGGTAATACTTTTTTCTGTCACTGTTTGAAAGAAGCGTTGCTTGAAAAGGCAACCTTCTTTCACAGAATTACGTATTAAGTAGAGGAAGGAATGACCTCTTGAATTTCCCTAGGTTGACCCTCTGTATTTTCCTCTGCTCTTTATGAAATCATTGCCACTAACACCATATCTTTTCCATTCTTGGAAGTCTGTAGTAATGGTATCTTAAGGACATTCATTAAAAATATGTGATGCTGGCCAATTCTTATCAGAAATATCAGTTAAAATCTTTCTTTAACTTGAATCTTTCCTCTGAGACTACAAGACAGTGAACACTTCTGCTCTTAAATAATTTAAGTCTAAATATATATATAGAGAGAGACAGCATCATTTACCTCCAAGACTGCTCTTTTCATGACTCATAAACCTGGCTTTACTGTGTTTATCAGGAGATTTCTCTAGTTCCATGAAAGAGATTTAATACTGTAATTGTAAAGTATGCTCCATGGCTTTATGTCAAGTTATTGCTGACTTTGTCCATTCTACCCACTATAATGAAAAAAAATCTTTCTAACCTTTCATTAAACTTATATAAAAGAGAGGAAAATAATTAAATTGTTTGAAAGAAAAATGTGAGCCTTATTTAAACCATTTTGTATATTCTTTTTTCCTCCAGCTGTATATAATCTGTTACAGAAAATTTCTGTTTGACAGTCTTTTAAAATTGCATTAATAATGCATTATATTTTACTTCTGGAGAATAAAAAGGAGGGAAATTTCATCTTGAACTCTTTTTCCTGAGTCCAGTGCTCCCTCCTTTAAAAAAAATGCAAACTGACAGAAAGAAGAGACAGAGAATAATAAATATGATTCTGCCTTTTGATCTTTCTTGCTTGCAATTCTACTGCTGGGAGATTACACCTCCAGCACATGGTCTTACGAACCACTGCAAACCTGTAAATTATTTACAAGCTTCATGCTATCTAAGCTGCCTTTTTTGCAATATCCCTAAGAATACTGCAGTGAGTGGATTCTTCTTTACCACCTAATCAACACCCTTTTTAGACAAAAGACAAACCACAAAAGACAAAAAAGGAGAAATAGTGAAATGAAATGTGAAAAGAGAATGGAGAAACAAACTCAAAGCTCAGACTTTTGTCTGTATAACAAACAGTGTATGATGGATAAAGCTGTATTAAGAGCTTTGGCAATTTACAATATATTTATGTGCTTTTGCATGACAGGTTCTTCATCCCATGCTTTATCTGCTGTCAGTTTTCACTCTGCTTCATTTTAGATCTATGTTCATGTCCATTGATTTCATTATTTTTAACTGATAATATTTTCTCTTTTTGCATGCACTTCTATTTTGACCTAAAATCTAAAGGTTCCATAAACACAAAACTTGATAGAAGAACACATATGTAATTTTGAAATAGCATGCTGATACTTTCAAGCTAAATTCTACCAAAAATCGCACAACCTAAACTCACAATGGCTTTTCATAGTCCAGTCCAGTGACTAATTTTTCATCTGCATATAATAGGGGTTTGATCCAAGCAGCATGAAAATTTAACAAATGGCTTGATCTAATAACATAAGTAAGTCAAATTAATAATAAATTCTGGGCCAATAGGCACCTCACAAAGCTCAACAAGAATCGCAATGCTCTGTGCCTGGGAACAAATCATCCTTTGCCCTCGCTGAATGGCAGCTCTGTGGGGTTACAGCTGATGTCAAGCAGCATATGAGCCGTCAAAGAATTCTCACTACAAATAATATAAACCACCTATTGGTCCAAGGCCAGCAGGCTGAGGAAGGTATTCTCTCTCTCTACTTGGGACAGTCTTGGGGCCCCTCCAAGGATGTGGAAGAACTGAAGAGGGTTCAGCAGAAGGCCATGAAGACTACTAGGGATGAGAACACATAGCTAATGAGGACCAAGAGAGAGAGAGCTCAGCTTCTTTAGTTTAGGCCATCGTTAAGGGCTGGGATAGTAGCAGCCCATCTGAAAGGCTGTGACAGAGATTAAGGAACAAAGGAACAAAATTCTTAGTAGAGACAGTTTTGTGGCCACAGTCTGAGGTTTGTGAGCTCACATTAGACACCAGGAAAACTTTTTGAACTCTTCTTGGTAACCTGAAGTGTAGTGATGCTTCAGACAACTCTTAATTTCAGTGGAAGTATGTGCCACCTTGGAAACACAGCCAACAGCCTTGGAAAGTTGTCTATGTACATGGCAGAGCTTTTCTACAGGATGAGAGGAGAGGCTTTGACAAGTGGATTTTGATAATTTGCCATTATGAACAGGAACATACTGACCAGGAAGAAGAGTGTGAGTTAGGGACTTGAGACAATAGATTCTTAAGCTTGTGATTTTTTCAGTCTTCAATGCTTTTAAGGATTATGCAGTTTTGTGCACCTCCTACTTTCAAAGCTACATACCTAAGACTGATTGAAGTTCACTGTATTTAGTGTGCATTCTGATGTATGTAATTGAGATGCAGACATTCTTATGATTTTTATATTTGCAGAAAATTGAACCAAATTATATTTGTGCAATGCACAT